CGCAGATCATTAAAGCAGGAGTTGGCTATGGATTGTGCTCCTTATTTAAAATGACTGAAGACTAAAGCAGACACAATGTCATGCCAAGCTTCAGAGAATTTTACCATATGGATGGTAATATTAGTTCATTCTCTCCAAGTTCCATTTACTTTTTGAAAACTCATTGCCTAATGGTTTTCTGTAATTTTCCATATATATCATAGATAAACAGAGTGGGCTTTCTGTCGATGCCCTGGTGTGTGTGTGTGCGCCTACATATATCACATATGTGCATGCCTGTATGCACATGGCCTAATGCGAGGAAAAACATCTTTTCACCCTCATCTCCAAAGCTTCTGTCCATCTACAGTTTATTATTTAACTGCAAGAAGTGTTGGAAAAACCCTCAGGACCCAAGTAGTGGGAAATACTGAGGCAGACTAAGAGTTCGAAGACACATCATTGTGTACAGCAGCTTATTTTCACAGTACACTCATTTTCAGAGTACACATTTTCACAGTAAGAGTATAATTCTTTATAAATTTTAGGTACCAACGTGGCCCCTGTAAATGTGGTGTCCAAACACATAAATTAATTACATTAAAATGAACGTAGTTATCCTTTTACCACTGCGAGGTAGGGCAGTGTTGCTATTAGTATTTTACAGAAGACAAACTGCAATATAGAGGGCTGGTCTCTCTCTCATTAATAGCTCGGGCAGGCCCATGCTGAAACAGTGCATTGCTCTGTGTGTGCTACGTCCTGAACCGGAGGAAAGTGTCTCGTTGTGATACCACGGGTGAGCTAATTGGTTCTGCCTAACGAGGCCAGGTGCAGCACCACGCAAGCACAGTTGCACTGCTTCCAGTGCTCAGAGCAGGCGTGATTTAGCACAGTGCTGCCTGGCAAAGGAAGCAGAGACAGACATGCTCAGAGAAGCCAAGGCCACAGGCCACAAATGGTATTTAACCTGGGACTTGGGCTCTGGGCTGTTTGGCTTTCTCAAGACTGAGGCACTTTTGGGTGAACCCAGGAGGAGGGGACTTTACTGGCAAAAGGTCAGCCAAAGTTTAAACCCACCACTCCCACCGCCCATGAGAATGCCCCAACTTCCACGCTAAGGGCTGCTCTGGGGAGAGGTGGGCACGGGGCTCGCTCAGGTTGAAGACGTGCCACTGGGTTCTAGCCCATGTCCCAGGTCTCTTACCTATGTTAGCCAATGGCTGTTTCATGTCAAATCCTAGCTCTAATTGGAGGGCATGTAAATTTGGACATAGCCCTGCTATATACAGAGATTTTATTCTTTACTACCTTGAGATTACAGGGTGTTCCCATATTATATGCTAGACACAGCTTCATGCTGTGCAGTCATACCCAACAACGGAGGCTTCAGCATAGCCTGCCTTGTGTACAATGGGCTGTCAGACAGCTTGCTGAGGGCAGGGCTGGGGTAGGGAGCAGTTTCCACATGCTAAAATTGAGATGAAAAATTAGGAGGTGCTGTTTTACACACACACGCACGCACTGACCAGGGGGTTGGGGGGAAGTGCAGTATGGTCTGAGCCCTGAATGAGGCAGGGGTTCTGTGGGCCAACTGGTGTAACCCACAGTAAAGGAAGAACATATCACATTGCACACACATAAAAAGACCAAAATAAGGGTGCACAGGCAACCTGAATTCTGTTCCTCATTTTCAAGTGCTTGACTTTGCAATCTGAATAGCATTCTTTTAGCACAGAGGGTTTTTCTTTAAGACTAAGTTAAGATGTGCCTGGACCATGTAGGTCAGATCCAATCGAAGCCCTGGCACTTGGAGGATGCAGAGCTAGCATTCCACTTCTCATTAGATGAGACTTGGCTCCAAGCTACTGAGATGGCCAGTAGAAGCCAAGATCTGATTTGAGAAATTCCTGACTCTGTGGCTTTATCTTCTCACCACCTAGTGTCAGACACCAGGTTTCTTAAGGTGGCTATTGGAAAAAGAGGTAATAAGCTTTGCTGCAACTAATTTTCATTTATTATCGGTCCAAATTGACCAAAAGATGGATTAAAAAAGACAAACGTAATGTGCTGAGCTGGAAAGCATGAAAAAACAAATGAACTAGCTTTGAAGAAGATTGGCTACTATGTAGGCATTTTAAAACGTGTCCTCGAGCCAGGAAGTGCTATATAGACTATTACTCATATGGAGACTGAGAAGTAATAACTATTGCAAGCACAGGAGACAGATTTCTAATGTGACAGGATGAGGTGGGGGGGGAGGTTTACTGCATTTTCATGAATTTCTGTGGTTCTAACACAGTTCCTATTTAGGTACAGAGAGCACTGCCTTATCGCTCTCTGCAATTAGCCCCTATCACTGACAAAAAATGGCCTGCCTCCATTTGCCTGCAAGATGAAACCGTCTAGCTAATTTGAGGACACTTCTTTCCATTTTCCCTCTGCTGGGTTTTGGCACAGTGCATCCCTGCTCTCTTAGGCGCCTTAGAAAAGTCTCTTATCTTGGTACATTGGTAACTAAATAGAACATTGTACAGAAGTTCTTGTCAGAGTTCCCAAAGCAAGAATGGCTCCCTTGGGATTCAGTACTGCTCTAGTTTTGAATAAAGTGACTCTATGTGCTACAAAAGCATCTACAGCCCAGATCTGAGTTGGTTTTCAAATGCTCCCCGCCTTGCAATCAGGAACAACTGCACTCAGGGCTCAACTTTAGCTCAAAGAATAGAACAATAACAATTAAAAGACCCTTCTCTACTCACTGGCATCAAAATGCTATTCACATACCTCCCACCTTATTGGGGAAAATCCTAGGAAAAGAAACAGCTCTAAACAACATGCTTCAGAAGCCTTGAGATTCTGCTGGACCAGGAGAGTAGAGACTGGAGACGGCCATGGCCACCTGTGACCCTGATTCAAGAAAACACATAGCAGGACCTGCAAGTTAAACACTGGCATACTTATTTCACTGGTTTGGGGTCAGCTGCACCCAAAAGTGACTGCTGCAGCATCCTGTGATGCTTTTGACCCAGAAAGGAAGGAACCAGGATCAGAAATGAATGCGGTGAGTTTGACTCACATGGCAAAAACAAACCACTACCTGGAAATGATGCTGTTGGCTTGACTTCTCTGAAAAGACATGTTTAAAATAGATTGAAACCCAACTGATTGAAACCTGGTTAACTTTAAAAATGTGCAGCTGTCCATTAATGAGAGGGGGTACTTTGAGTGTAACAGAATTAAATGTCTCTTGGCCTCCATACGTCTCAGAATGATTTAAAAACACAGTCCGAGAAACCGTGTCTAGTGGGAGTTTTCACTCTGTTGTCATTTAAAACTAAATACAGCATCTGTACTTAATGCGATTCACAGCAATCCCCACTGTTAAGGATACATACTTGGCTTCGTCCCCGTTCTTTGGACTACTCATATATGTAGGTAACTTCCCTCACATGAGATGTTCCTCTGAGCTCATAGCAGGTGCAGCCAGGGAGTGACAGAGAGAGGCATGCCCATTTCTGCTTTTTCTTGGGACCAGTATAAGCCCTGGTATATATTAGAGCGTCTCTGAGTGCTGCTCTAAATCATGATGCTCTTGCCACAGTTGCCCGTGGGCTGCACTGCAGTCCAGAATGGCCATAACACGCACTGGGGACACTGCAGTTCCTTCATGGCTTGAAAATTTCACTAGAATAATGTAGAGAGACTGGATCGGGGGTCTAGAACATGGTCACTCAGGGGCTAGGGACAGACATTACATATAACCCAGTTTAAGTGATCAGAAACTGGTTTAAACCTGTAACAGAACAGATGTTCAGTGCACATAACCAGTTTCAAAATGGCCAAAACCGGTTTGAGATAAACCTGGTTGAGTGTAGTATCAGACTTAACTGATTTCAGTCAAACTGGTTTATGCAATGTCTGTCCCAGACCCCTTGCTGGTTTAAGTTAAATCAGACTCCCCCAGCTTCCCAGCATGCTCTCTGGGTTGGGCAGGGCTCTCTGCTGCACAGCAGGGTCGGCCCCTCCCCTCTGCTCCCTAGCCAGAGCTTCAGCAGAGATTGTAAGCATCTGCCTCATTTCTCCCTGTTCCTCATCCCTCCGCCCCTGCCACTTCCTGCTAAACAGAGATCCCCATCCCCTCTGCCTTACACAAACACACAGCGTTAGCTAGCAGACCACATGCTAGCTACGGTCCGTGCCATGGCGGACGGGACAAAAGCAGAATCAGCAGGTAGCTGGTAATGTCTCTCTGTTGTTTTCTTAATAGGATGGTAAACACTGAGTTAGGGGAGATAAACACTGTGTTATGAATTCCCTGCTGAGCTGGTCGGGAGTGGGGGGAACCCCTTCCTAATCAGAGTGTCCTGCTGGGGCCTGGCTATGCCCCCCTCAGCTCAGCGTGGTGGAAGGGAAGGGAGGGCTGCTCTAGCACCCCCCAGCTTCTAGCCTGAGCCACTGCATGCATGTGCCTACATTTTTTCAGTCCGGAGGGGATGTCTATACGGTTACAAACTGATTTAGCCTAGCCAGCTTAGACTTACCTGCAAAGATTGAATCAATTCAGGCTCAGGCTTTTTGAATGTCTGTCCCTAGCCAGGAAGCCTGTGGCACAGTTTGAAAAATGAACCCAGATCTTCTAAGCCAGTGCCTGAATCTCATCACCAGTCCGCTTTGTTAAAAGGTCATTATCGAGGCCCTCTCTGTCAGGCAAAGAGTCAATAGCAGAACTCTACAGACCTCAACAACAGCAGAATGAAGGAAAGCTTCACACCCTTGGAAATCCCACCCTGCTCCTTTTCCCTTTATAATTTCCCTTAAAAAACTCCATTGGACAGCTGATGACTTTGGACCAGGCTTCTCTTGTATTGCATAGGTGACTTGTGCCATGCAGAGAAGAGACAAAACCAGATCTCTTGGCCTGAACCCTGCTGATATGAAAAAGTTTGACAAAGTTTGGACCATGCAGATTTTTGTTTTGAAATCCCATAATCCAAGCAATAAAGCAAAATATATCTCCTTACCTGCTCTCTGAGGAGCTCTCTGGCACGTGGTACATGAACACATTCCCTCTAGAGTTATCAGCCCAGTAACTCGCCATGCTTATAATGGGGCAGTTTATAAAACGGTCACTGAGAAAGAAGCAAACAAGAATATACTCATAGAGAAACAATTATGCAACCAGAAAATACTTCCAAAATCTATATTTCTTCTTTTAGACAGCTGGTTTCCCCATCTCTTCCAGTCTAGCTTCCATTTCCTATCTTTACCCCAAAGGGGTGAAACACAGCCTTCCCAGACCCTGACGCTCTATGTAGGCCTTCCATGAAGAAGGCAACCATTACCAGTATAACTTAAAAACCTCTGAAAATGATTCCAAGACATGTTTCCCCACACAGTAATGTTGCATTATGATGAAGGTCTCAGGAACTTCCAGAGCAGGAAACAAAAGGGCTCTCTCACTGATCCTGGGGCATCCCACGCTTTCTAATGGGATGCTTTATCCTATTTATTTCTGATTTTTAGCACTAACAAGCTTGCAATGGCATCTTGCAAGACTGTTAGTATCTCAGTGGTTATGGGTCAAAAATGCCTGATTTGGATCTTGGATTAGGATAATTTTGGAGGGTATTTCCACATTTGGAAGGATACTTGGGTGGGCATCTGCTTGACACCGCTCAGTACAGAAAATGTAAATGTCTGAAGGAGGTGGAGTAATGGCCGGAGTACAGGTGAGAGAATTATACGATAAACTTAAATGTGTACCCAATACACATTATACACAAAAATACGAACCACACATGATATGAAAGTCAGAGGTTTTAATTCTTGTCACTGCAGTAAGCATGAAACCTACCTACTACTTAAATATTTTACTGCCAGAAGTGCCCGATAAGAAAAAAAAAATAATGTGAGAGGAACACAGAGATGCGCTTCTCTATTTAAGTGTTTTGACCAGTTGCATCGGTTCACCAGCATTTATTTTAAGCTCACAGAACCTCAACTCAGAGACCACAAAACACTGGGTTGTCTGACCACAGCTCTCTTTAGCAGTTACATTAGACAACACCCCTTAAAACTAAAGCTACCATTTTTCTGCAACCTATAAGCGCACAACTTTGTGGGAACAGATGTTCTGTGAAATATCAGGACTTTGAAGCTATTTTCTCCTGAGAAATGTTCTGAAACCTGTTGGCCACTTAAAATTCAATTCTCTGTGGGTAAAGCAAGGAAAGGAGTCAAATGTTTTAGGTTAATTTTAAAAAACAAAAATCAAGTGTACATTCCTTCTCACAGCTCGCAGAATACTGTATTAAAAAGACTCCATAAAGCTCAATTTAAATATTGGAAAAAATATCACAGAATTTCAGCCGAAACCATTTAAAATAATTGAAATCTTCTAAAACTGCAGTCTCAAGTGCATGTGACTTGCAGCTTAACTGTTTAAGGTGCTTTTTTGTGGTTCATGAGCCCAGTAGAACTTTACAAAAGAATTATAGACCCCGAGTGTAAAAGTGACCTTGGGTTACACATTTATCCAAGGATAAATTTCTCCTCTTCCTTAACTACCCATCTTCACTAGTTAGGGCGGTTCTGATCACCACTTCCATTCCTCTCTGGAGCATAAGCTGGGACCTGGAGAAAGTATTATAGTGGAAGCGTTACTCAGTGGGCAGAGCAGCGGCTTAGCTTTCGGGGTGTTTCAAGCGTACTGAATTCTGTTTCCTGTCCCTTGCACTCAACTCCTGGTGTGATCTCAGGCCAGCCAGTTGCATCTCTCTCTCTGACTCAGTTTAACCATCTGATTAATGCAGGTAATAACTCTTACTTTCCCCTCCCAGGGGTGCAGTAGGGCTTGCTTATGCATCCTGGGGCCCTTGGATAAAAGAAGTGACTGTAGCAACCTTAATTATTATTTTAATGGCTCCTTGCTGAGGACTGCACAACAGTGAGGAACTGTGCTTCTCAAGTGATTCAGGTACCTAGTTGTTTATTGACGTTTTCCCAATGGTTTTACATGTTTAAAACTGGACTCTCTCTACAGTGCACGGAGACAGCCTAGTGATTGGCACCTTGTCAACAGAAGAGGCTGGCAGGCAGGGAGGGAGGAAAAGCCCAGCGAAGCAGTACACTGGATAAACCACCCCCGGGTGCCACTAAAACGAATAAGCCGCCATCTGCACTCCACTGCTTGCTTGTGTACTTCAGGACCTCAATGCACAGGCAGACCCAGACCACCCAGAGGCCCTTCCCAAACGGATCTGGTTGCTGGATTCCTGGATAAGATTTTCTAAATTAATCTTGGCTCACTCTCAGCTTTGTCTCCCTTAGGCTCTCTGGTGTTAGCAACCTGCGATTTCAGTGAAGATCTACTGAAAGGGGAAGCGTGCTTCTAGAGCTCTCCATGCTGGTGCAAGTGTGGGAAGATACTGTGCAGCACAGACAGCCAAAATCACAGCCTGTAGCTGTGAGTGCTCCCGTAAAAGCAGGCTTGAAACAGCCTGGCTCAACAAGTCGAAGGAAGCAACCACTACATTCATTCTCTTGGGGATAAGGAGCAATTTTCATAACACATCTGCACTGTCAGCAGAGGGATGTCTGCAGGGGCTTCTTAAAAAAGTATATGGCATTCACATGTAACAGGGTGGATTTCAGCTGGTGTTGCAAGGAAGCAGGTAGGGAGAGGTGCATGGAGACTTCCCTTCACTTTGCTTCCCTGCATGGGGGTGCCACAGCCCTGGTCTTGCACTCTCAACACAAGGGCTGCTCCCATCTTGCATGACCAGCCATCTAGGAGGAGATGGGAGAGAGGTTGGGGGTCATGACCCTCCCTACAAAGTGTGCAAAGCCACACTCAGACCCACAAACTTTTCATTTCTCCAATCATACTAATCCCCAAAGCTATTTGGGCTACCACTGAGGATTTCATCATTCCTTTCCCACTTTCTACTGCTGTGCATTCCCATAGCGATGTCAAAATTAGAGACACAGCTGTGAAGTTCATATCCAGATCCAAACTGCAGGACTGTGGACTGCATAGTGCCAAGCTCTGGTAATGACATCTCTAGTGATGTAACAATTATTTCCACAACAGAGGGCTGTGATGCTGAACTAGGAGACAATTGAAATCTGTTCCAAGGCTATAAAACACAAACTTATCTCATCTCAGGTCCATCAAGTAGAATAATACAACTCATTTCTTACCGGGTGGCATTTTCCAAAGCCCTAGAGAACGTTGCATAATCTTCAGTTGAATGTCGGAGGGAATAGTACCAGGTGGCTGCATCCTCAATAAAAGAATTGGAGTCCTCTCCCCCAAGGGAATTCTGCAGAGCCTGGTAAAAGGCTGTTTTGCTGCTGACTCTTCCTTTCCTTTCTTCAAATTTCTAAGAGGAAAAATCATAGTATTAAAAACAAACAAACAAAAAAACCTCCAACAAAGAATAAACTCTCTCAGGAACAATGCAGCCCCAGATCTTCCTTTGCTGGAGACATTCCCATTCCGCTCCAGGCTGATACCTGAATTCCCAGGGAAAGATGGAGTGCACGTCTCTGTCCTCAAAGCTTGTGCCTCAACACAGAATGGAAAACTGCTTCTCTAGAGACCCTGGAGATCTGAAAGGCATATGGCCTTCAAGCCTCACAACATCCCAAGTCCTCCCCAAGACTGAATGTGTGGCAGAGACCATCCCAGGACTTGAGCCCTGGAGCGGTCCCAATCCGCCAAACATTGGTTGGTTGGGACAGCCCAGGGCCTGAGTCTTGGGGCGATCCATGCCAGTCAACAAGTAGCTGATCAGGAAGGCCCTGGAGTTTGAGCCCCTACTGGAAGCTGCCAAAAAGCCATCTCCTGGGTTCTTCCACATGGAGAGATGGTCCAGCTCACAGAAGGTTTGGGATCATACTTCAATTATACTAACAAGACCACGAACCAGACCTCCAGTGGTGAAAACTGGCAGAGTTGCACTGAAGCAGAGGAATAATGAAGAGGTAGGGGAGACAGGTCCATGAGTACAACACTTTCCTTTCCCCCTTCCTCATGAGTATACAGAGATGGGGAGGTTGACATGTGCACCAAAACATGCCTGGGTATTTATTCCTGGTCTTGGTAAAATAGCAGTTGCTGGGAGGCTTTTGATGTCTCTGTTATTCAAGGAAGGTTTGGGGTTTTTTGAGGCTTTTTTAGCCTTTGAGATTTTTTGGATTCCTTTTGTAAATGGTAGAAGTTATTCCAAGTTGGGAAGGAGTGACTTCTTGAAAAGCCTGAAACTTAAGACTTTCCCTGAGCCTTGCCCTTTCACAGGTGCACAGTGGCTGAAATTTGGTCTGATATCTTTAAAATGTTCCCAATAGCAACATCTAATAGACCATCTTTATTATTGTGGGCGGCTCATCTAAAGGAAAACATACATCTAAGTTTCCCCAGTCAAGTTACCCTATACATTTATACTGAATATACTGGATGCCCTGCATCTGGTTTTCATCAAACAGCTAGGAAATCTCTTTCTGTGACCTTATACGGAAAGTGCAAAAAGCTGCAGAAGGAATAATTGCTTTTCCAAAAGTCATAGAAATTAGTGATGGAAAAAGAAGCATCAAAGTTACACCCCTCCTGGCACCTGCATGTGGTTGTCCATAGAAATCATTCTGTTGTTCTGTCACGCTCAACTTTACCAGAGCTGGGCCCCTCCGGTTCTACAAGGAGCGACTTTCCTGGTATTCAGTGTTAACTCTTCTTTTTTTCATTTTATCTTATTTCTGCCGTGGCTTTACAGATGGACGGCACCATAAAAACATGGATGGATGGACTGAAGTCAGTGGGGCATATCACAATGTTTTCTTCCTTCTTGGTGTTTATATACTCTAAGGCTGTGTCCATATTAGAGCGCCTGTGCGGCATGTGGTGCCGCAGACACATCTGCGGTGCCACATATTGCACATTCAGCTGTTCTCCGTGCTTCAAGGTAGCAGCTTGGAGGGTTTTTTTAACCCTGGGATCTCCCCACATACACAAAAGTGGAGTGATGCACACAGAGGTAGCACGCACCACCCAAAACTGGAGCCTGGCCGGCCGGAGCCACACTCTGGCTGCCAGCCAGGCTCCAAGTGGCAGGATCACCACTGCTGCAGCCCCAGGAAGCCCCCAGGTAAGGCTGCTGGGGGCAGCACTGGGCTGGCCCCAGCCTCCCCTACCCTACCTGGGGTAACTTGTCGCGTGCCAGAGGGCATGTAGCACAAGTGTTCCTCAAGGCACAAGGTGTGCCGCCACTTCTTGTCCCTGGGAAAACAAACGTCCGTGCTCGTGGACGCGGCCTAAGATTTTATAGGTCATAAGTGTTTAAATAGTACCAATAATCTCTTACTAGGATTGATTTTATAGAAGGTGTCTCTGCTCTGAAGAGTTCAGAATCTAAAGACAACATGTCTGGAGGACAGGATGTACACTCAGAAAAGTGGTATTTTCCCCTCTGTTTCTCTTTTATTCTTATATTTGCTGCCATCTCATTTGTTACCAGTTCATGGTAGGGGGGAAATTAAGGTTTCCTGCATGTATAGACAGTTATCTCAATCATTCACATGAACAAGTACAACCCGCAAGAGCAGTAATTCAGCCAATATATGCATCCTTAGTTCCTGTAATACAGCCTCTAAAAGCAGCACCTTCCGCTTCTTTAGACGTTTCCATTGTTACCCGCATTTCATCCAATTAGTCTTTGGCTGCTCAAGACTAAGTGTGTTAGGCAGCTGTTCTGAAAGCTGTCATCTTATTTCCACCAATATTTGGGAAGTGAAAATAATCACCCAATGGAAACTTTAGTCATACATCCATTAGCAAATAAGGACACACAATTTGCATCTGGAAAGTGGCATCTGTACAGAGAAAATGGAAAAATTCAAGCATGCTTCACTATAAAACTATCCACTTGCACACACAAATGCAACATTTGCACATAAGTACAAGTGCATTTTTCTGCAAGAAACTGAGAGCACATCACTATGGTCTGGATTCAAGTTGGGTATTTTCTTGCGAGTCAGATCAAGTCATGATCTGCTGAGTCAGCCAGCCATGTAGAAATGAGAGTTGGATGAAAAATGGGATTTCCATCTGTGGGAAGGTTCCTCTGTTTTGAAAATATAGTTTCACCCCAATTTGGGAATTTTCCCCCAATAAGAAAATATTCCAAAAGATTGTTTCAATGTGCTGATTTGACCTAGACATACCATAATCTAAACACTGGATATTCCTGTATAAGCCAAAAGGAGTTGAAAAGAAATGTTTGTTTCAATACTTATTTAAAACAAAATAACACATTTCTGGAAATGAAATGTGTTGATGATTTCTTACGAAAATTCTATTAAAATTGATATGATTTCATCAGTGTCCTCCAACACAACCAGTTTCCTTCACAAATGTCAGACCAGCTCTATGAGGAAACACTTCCCAAAAAGGGCATGACAAAATAGACCAGTAATTTTCAGCCGGGGTACCATGGCACCACACAGACAGCTACATGATTCACAAAATAAAACCGGTGATTTTAGTAGGAATCCACGTGTCAAAAACATTCTGACTTTTTGTGGTCATGCTGAGCTCTTTGCAACAGAAAAATTGCTCTGTCACTTTTCCATACTTAAACAATGAGCGAAAGCTAAGACCTGACATTTTTTGAAGCAGGCCTTGAGTTTAAAAAGTTTGAGAACAACTGCAGTAGACTCTGCCAGATCAATAGAAACAGCTATAGCCTGTGCCAAATTGTCTACATTCTGCTAACTCCTCAGGGGTGATGGCGTGAAGGCCCAGCGGGCTTTTCTTCAGCATTACTAATAAGGAGGTGAGAAAATGATTAAAGATAGTGGGCGAGATTCAGTGGTTTGCCACTTTACACAACTCTGGTGACACAAAGCACTCATAAACATGGCTTAAATAGCCGATTAAGCTCAGTTTACAGTTTTTTTAAAGTGCCGGAGTACAGCAATTAGTATGTGCAAGTGAATCTAGTCCAACGTGCTATTAAAATACTAAATTAGTAGCATATGCTAAGGCTATATCTTCTGCAAGGTTAAATGGTACCTTTCTAATGCATTACTATAGTGTTAAGAATTAACACTTGAACAAAGAGGATGGGGGGAGGGACCAGTAAACATGGGCATTTTGGACTTTTAAACGGTTTTTGATCAAGGCCCTCCCCACAAGAGACTCCTAAGGAAACATGCTAGCCATAGGGCGAGAGGCACAGCACAGCCTTGCTATTGATTCCAACTAGTTAAGAGAGAAAATAACGAGTGGGAATTGAACGGTCCATTCTTCTTATGCATGGAGCTTAACAGTAGGTTTTTCCCCCCGACCCAAGTCATTATAGCTACAAACTGAGGCCACAATCCTGAGATCTGTTCCATGAAGGTGAGAAGCTGTGTCCCTTTAGAAGTCCCACCAACTTGACAGGATGATCTGTAGGTGCAAGAGCTTGCCTGCAGAGATCAAATTGTAGGGATGAAATAAAAGCATAAAATCTTTCACTTTCCGTCCATTCATCGACCTACTGCCTCTGGACTGTGTACAAAACCTGGGGCTCAGATGAGGTAAGGGTGAATCAGTTGAGAAAAGAAAACTTAGATAAAAATCAATTTTTTGTCAACTAATTAGATAGACTCTGAAGTCCCACTTATACATCCCTTTGTGCAATCTATATACTGCCTACCCTGTACTAAATATAAGGTACACACACACACATACACACTCTATGAGTTCATAGATTTCATAGACATTAGGGCTGGAAGGGACCTCACAAGATCATTGTGTCCAGCCCCCTGCCCCAGGGGCAGGAAGCCAGCTAGGGTCAAAGGATCCCAGCAAAATAAGAATCCAAACATTTCTTAAAAGAGTCCAGAGTAGGTGCTTGCACCACCTCTGCAGGGAGTCTATTCCAAGCCTTGGGGGCTTGGACAGTAAAGAAGTTTTTCCTTATGTCCAGCCTAAAACAGTCTGGAGGAGTTTGCACGACTGGATCTTGTCATCCCTTGGGGTGCTCTGGTGAACAGGCATTGCACACCCCGGATGTCCTTAGAGGCAGCCACCAGGTCCCCCCCCGAGCCCGCGCTTCTCCAGGCTGAAGAGTCCCATAGCTCCCAGCTTCTCTTCATAAGGCCTGTTCTCCTGCCCTCTGATCATGCGCGTGGCTGTCCTCTGGACTCTCTCAAATTACATCAATTTAGATAAATATATTTGATTATCTAGTCTGACATGCTGGATGTCATAAGCCACAGAACTTCACCCAGTTTTCCTTGTACTGAGCCCAGTCATTTTTGTGTGAATAAAGCAAACTTTCCTCGAAAGGCATCCAGTCTTGAGCTGAAGATTTTAAGGCCCTGTTCCTTTGGCTAATCACCCTCAGTGTTAAACATGTGCGCCTTATCTCTAATTTGAATTTACCTAGCTTTAACTTGTAGCCATTGGTTCTTATTATGCCTTACTCTGCTAGAGGGAGGGGTAGGTTATTTCAGCCTTATGAGAATGGTTTTTGGCTAGAAGGCAATGCATGGGAGTGAATGGAGCCATGGTTTGATGTCTTCTCTTCCTCTTCCAGTCTCCTTGCTCAAAAGGAGGGGAGGGGAACACTGGGTGCACAGCATCCGACCTCCACCCCTATGCCCCGACCCAAACTAAAGCAGTGCACTTGGGAAGACCTCACTTTCATGTTTGTCAAAACAGTCAAAATCTACTCCCTACAGTGAGCCCTTCAAAACGGGAACCACACTTCCTTTTCTGGTTTTGAAAACTCAGCCCACTCTAGATGCTATTGGAAAAAAACACCACCACTACCATGTGTCTCTAGATGTCCACACTCTCGGTACTATCCAAGGACAAGTCTGTTAAAAAAAACCAAACCCTCTCAAGACAGAGTTAAGGGCTGAATCCAAGTCTTTGAATCCAGTCCAGTGACCCACCCACTAGACAAGCTTTCCTGCCAAGCAAGACTGGAAGGGAACCAGCCCTGGGGAGATTTCCCCCTCTGCCCCCTCCTCTAGATCTTCTTCAAAGAGAAGCCCAATCCCGGATCTGATATAGGAGGAGAAGAGAGGAGTGGGATAGGGCAAAGACTCCTCATGATATGCTGCAGGAGGAGGAAAATACTCCGGGTCCCCATCCACACCCACACAGATTTAGGCTAAGCTCTACTGATACTATGAGTTACTTATGTGGCCCACACTGGATTTCACGGGCAGGTTTTTTGCACACCCATGGTCAGGGCTGAGATACACCAAAGTGCACGGGTTATAAGGATCAGCATAAACAGTCATTTTTCAAACTTCTGCAGGACAGAGGAAATGAGAGGTTTTTGCAGTAGTGAAGACACAAAGTGCTGAGGAAACATGTATGAATCCAGAAACCTTTGGCTTTGCAGCTGTTTTTTAATAAGGCGTTTAAGTGGCTGAGATGCATGAGGATTCAGTGTTTCAAAGAACCTAGGGAGACAGAAACAGAGTAGGCGAGGACAACAATAACCAGTGATTATTGGCAAAAAGCATGAAAAGAGGTTAAGTAAGGAAGAGGGAATATCTGAAACATAGGCTGCTGAGCATGTAGACTGCAAGCTCTCTGAAGGAGGGCCTGTCTTTGTGACAGATAGGGACTCTGGGCACCAGCTTCAATAATAACTATTCTAATGGAAAAGTGAGGAGGAGTATTTAATTTCTTATCATGGCAGCTTAAGCTCTGTGCAACTCTCAGACTCTCAGTCGCAGATGCTCTGCCTTTCCAATGAAATCAGTATCAGCTAGCACTTCTCAGTCATCGGTCTTTGTTGGACGTCTTCTCAGAAAACACAGTGGAATTTCATTCATTGTCTGTGCTAATGACATAATGAACAGGAGGAAGAGAATGACACAGAATTTCATTTCCATGCCCCCATCACGTGATTTAGGCAGGGTTACCCAAGTTCATTGCCTCGCCACAGCAGAGATCATTATCTGCTGATGGCAGGGGTTACCATCACATGCCACTTGCTTTCCTTTTAATCCATTGTAAAGGACCTGAAAGGAAAACGTGGCGTTCGAATCAATCAAACCAAGAGCAAAAAGGGAGCCAAAAGGGAACTAATCTAGCAACCACATCCTTATTCAGAATCATGATCAGACACTATTTCAAGAGGTTCCCATTAAACCCTGCTATTACTTCTGGCAGTCTGGATGCTCCATATGTTGCACCACAGGCACCTGGGGGAGAGGTGGTATTATCGTTTTCTTGCACTTCTGCCTCCACATCAAACAACCCTAGAATCTTACCGGGCAGGCTGCCCCGAGGCTGCTAATTTGGGGCTTTTAGGGTCCCTGGGCCTGCTTCAGAGTCAGCAACCTAGAAGCACCACATCCCTGATCTGGGCAGTTTCCATGGAGCAGAAATGAAACAGACTGGGTTCAAGGAGTGCACATGACATTTCCAAACCGAATGTCTTGCAGAACTCAGGCACGTGTCCTCGCTGCTGGACCAGCCCTCCACCTTGTAAGTGAGAATGAAGTGGTACCTGGCCTCCTATAAAAAAGTAAACTAACCTTTTGTATATAAGGAGCATTTCCTACTTTACTGACATCCTAGCTTAAAATTTTCCCTACTTTTAGCTTCCTTGGTAAAATAAATAAATAATCTCCGTATTCTGCAGTAATGTCCAGAACATATTTTAACACTGGGCCCCGTGGTTTTGATGTTTTGTACTGTTACTATAGAGTGCTGTCACATTTCCAACAAAAGTTACACTGATGCTGAAGTTAAACTGGTCTGTGCTAAGCCAAAGTACTGCAAGGTAAATTAGGGCTTTATTGCATCTTATGCTGTAAACTGCACACATGTTAATTGGCTTAGTGTTGATCAACACTATGATCAACAATCATGAAACAATCACACCTTATGGCAAAAAAAACTCTTATGAAACTGTGACTGTCCCTCACCTGCACAGTTGTGACTTGCCACTACAGGCTTGGTGAGCAGGGGCAGGACTAGGAGCCTATGTAAAATGTTTCTTAGTGCAAACAAGGTCAGTTGTTGTCAGTCCTTCTCACCACCACCTAGACCGGCTTGCTGCTTAAACTCCGAGGGCCCTAATCCTTCTTTTTTCTGGAGCTCGCTCCCCTCATGCTGCTGGTGGTGGGAGCAGTGAGCTGGTCTGGGCAGTGGTGGAAGGCACTGAGGCCATCAGGCACTCTGGAGCTGTGACGCTTGCTCTGTCTGATGTCCCTAGGGGGGTGAAGCACTATGACTTCCCCCCTGCACCCCAGTGTCCCCACTCACCCTGACTCAGGAGGTACCACTGTATCCTGGGATGTGGGAGGACTTCAACTTGGGTGGAACAGCTGTGGGGAAGTGGCCATATGGTAATGGAACAGGGGCAAAATTAGGCAGATTAGAGATAATTCTGCCCTGGAGTGGCATAACTTTAAGGCAAATAATGAGTGCTTTAAGCCACTTAAAGGTGTTAACGTGTCACCAGTCTAGGTGTTAAGAGCTGCAGAAACCTCCTAAACTTACCATGAAACAAGGCCCTTACTGGCTAGCTTCCACTGACCACAGGGTAAGAGCATGTACAAGGGCAGTAACCACAGAGTGGTTCATGTGCTGCAAATCCTTGCCCTTGGCTATCTTAGAGTAACTTGCTAAAATGCCCATGCCCTCAGTTTTAGTTTATTGTTTTGGATGATAGCTTTAGTATATGCTGGTCTGCTGTATAAGTGCTCACAGATGTAAATACATGCATTCATTACAGAGGAATTATATGTGGCATAAAGGTAACAGAGAGAAAGTGTAAAGGGCAGGATTTTTCACACAAGCATTTCAATGGGGTATAAGAACAGAGAATTGTCTGATGGAAAGGAACAATTGGAGGTATGCCGCCTCTAACATGACCAGTGCCAGTTGCTTCAGAAAAGACACAAAAGCCCTGTAGTAAAACTATTAGTGTTATTACAAATTATTCTAATTCCACATTATTATATAGAATGATTTATTCCTGACCCCTGCTGATCAGCTTGTGCTCTGATAACCCTTATGACTCTGATCCTAGCTCATGTGTCTGCAGGTGCTATTCTTATTCATAAGCAATTCTAATTTAGAGGGTCCTTGCAATAGGCAGGTGGGTTCACAGAACAGAAACGCACAGGCAATGATAGAGAAAATCAATCAGTTCATCAACTCAGGCACAGAGACAGAAGAGAGAAGTGCGAGAAGGAAATAACCTATGAAATTTGGACCCATAGCTGCCATTAGAGTCTAAATCCTCTAAGAAGTTCAGAAGGATCAAGATGCAGGGGTTGACTTGGGCCTATTCCTATCCTGGATCATGCCAATTGTCCACTTAATATTATAGTATTTCCTTGGTAGTAATGTACAGAAGGAACATTTTATATTAACATGCTTTTGAGAGACCTAGATGTATTGGTACGTGCAAAATACAGTCTAAACCAACCACTGACTTTTGGGCATTTTGTCTCTTCCTTCAACTAACAGTATCATTACACTGTTACACCAAGAGTGCGATTTCACTGGCTACTAAAAACCGCACTTCTTGTGGGACAACACACAAGTGTATTTTTATGGAGCACAATTCAAGAACTAAGAAAGCCAGAGTATCTGTCTTGCTGCTGCCACACATTGACTGTATTGTTAATATTTACTTAAGTGCTTTAACAGCTAAGAATTTTCTTATATAGTAAAACTCAACCTACCTTAATTGCTTTCGCTCTGCTGATTAGCCCATCTTGTTGAGCACTTCCAATTAGCAGATCCACCTTCTTAAGTCGAGTTCGCTGCAGGGCTGCAGCCAAAGGCTCCTGAAGGTAGATGCCATCAACCACTGGACCCCAATACTGAAATGGCCCACTGATGGCTAAGAGCTATATTGGAGAGAGAACAATTGGCTTAGATGAATAACATTGTACCTATATAACCTAGTTGTATGCCCTTCCTCATCCCCACCCCTCTTACGTTATTCCCTTGCTCAGGCACGCTGTATTTCCTTTATGGTCTTGTCGTTCTTGCTCTTAACATTTTCTAATAAAGTTAAACTATAGGTGGGCTTTACAAAAGTGTCCATTGATAACCACTCTCTGCTGCCTTTGAAATCAATTAAAAACATGCTATTAAATGGGATCTGTGCTCTCATCCAAACATGATCTCTCAAGGGACTGGTAATGGGATAGGGGGAAGCTCAGTAGTGAGCGTCTGGCCCAGACTGGGAATGACTGAAGGCTGTTCCCATCTGACTAATGTTTGCTCAGTTGCCTCCCTAGAACAAACCACTGGGCTGATGGCCTCAGAGAGGACAAGTTCCCCCAGTAAAGTACTTGAAAATCACAGCCAACATGAACCGGGGCCTTTGCTGGCAGTCTCAGCAGAGGAGCCAAGATCAGAGAGAGTGAATGAACCAGTTGGTCCTAGAGGTGCCACTTTTGGCTTGGGGATGAGGCCTAGTGCTGGGCTGTGACTGGGGAAGTTGTTACCGAAGCCTCTGCTCCCCCATGTAGGAAGAACCACCTCCAGGTGGTCAGTACAGCACCTTCTGTAAGCATCAATACTTTGATTGAAAAGAAGAGCACAGGCATCATTTCACCCTGCTGCTTCTGCAGACAGCTAGGCGCATGATTCCCACTGACATTAGAGCTTGTCTGTAACTCTGGTTACAGATTTAAACCCAGCTGGGGGCACATTTCCATAGTCAAAGTGATGCTGAAGTCACTGCTGCACTGAAGTCAATGCTGACTTACAACCACCGAGGATCAGATCAACAGTCTTTTACGATACTGCTTTCAAGTTCCTGCAGTGCTACCTCTATTTCCCACCTACGATACAGATGGACACATATTTTGCCGTACCTTAGTCTGAGCATCATTGAGAGCACCTGCAGGCAGCTGACGGAGACAGGTTATGGTTTCCTTGCTGCTGGATGAAGGGCATCCTAATTCATTAGCCAGAACCCTCACTTGTTCTTGGGCTGTCTTCTTACTAATCACTGACATTGGAGAAAAAGCAGAGCCTCCCTAGAAAAGAAAGCAGGCTCTCACTTAGCTGATCATGTAGATGTGTGTTTCCTCAGTGCATGCTAAAAAATCCAACATAAAAAAGTGCTCAGGCGCTGAACAGGAACTTGACTTTGCAAGAGGACCCATGAGATCCAGTGATTAGAGCACAGGTTTATTTATTTATGTATTCAATTTATATTCTGTCACGTCCAAAGGAATAAACCCAGGGAAAATAGTATTCAAGTGAAAGGACAAAAACAAATGGATCTAAATAGGCCACGGATAAATTCGCTCTGGAAGTTAGCCACCAAAGGACTAAAGTTCTTGAACAGTCTCCCAATAGAAGGGACAAAACACTACATTTAGGATGGGATTTGGCCAGGGTAGAAAAAAGTCTGTGTGTTGTGATTGCCTGTAATTGGGGACTGAACAGGAGGCCCCTTCCAGTCCAGTTTTCCTAGAATAATATTCACACCCATGTGATTTGCAATGGCTACTACTTTTGCTGAACTTATGTCACAAAGTAATTACTGGCATTTGTCTTATGGAGGTGACTGAAGGCAGTGACCAAGACTGAGGCCCCATTTTGCTTGGCACTGTAACAACACAAGTGGTCACACTTCCTGCCCCTTGGGACTTAAAACTAAACTAGTTTTCCTGTTAAGTTTCTCTCCTATATTTGTTAGCACTCTAGGGATAGCAAAAGTTCAGAGAGAGCAATTTTGAGTCCCAAGACTAATCCCAGTGATGATGATGATGATGATGATGATATTATGAGCAGGAAGGAAGCCAAGCCTGTACTTTCAAAGCTCATGCACAGAACTAACAATTAGCTGGGAAAAAATATCCCTTTACAGCTGAAAACTTGACCTGGAAGATACCATGCTACAGTGAATGTGAAATTATACCATTGCTCTTCAAAGTATACTTAATCTTTGAATCAAGTAGCCAGAGCAAGGATAAGACCAGAGGAAGGATCAGAACCCAGGAATTCCTGGCTTTTAACCCCATGGTCATGGTACTGCAACTCTCCCTGCCACACAGACCTCATTCCCATGCTTCCCCCTTCAACTTCTCACAGCTGGGAAAAGATGGTCCAATGCTGTTGAGTAAGCCACCTATTTCAAATGCAGGTATATTAGCATAATCTGATAACATCTAACCTAGAACAGCATGGCTGGAAGAGCTGTGACATAGTTCAAATGACTAATTTCCAAACTTATAGATCAGTTTATAATAATAACTGCACAGATGCTTTTCCGTCTTCAAAAAAAAAAACCAAAAAAAAAAAAAGCCCCAAGATACACGATAGGAGTGAATGTGATCTCTTCAACTGATTAACTGTTTGCAGTATAAAATAAATTAAATGCAAAACCTTGAACCCAGAAAAACACAAGCACTGAGCAAAGAAAAAAAATAAACTCATGTCAAGACTGATTTTTAATCTGATGGCACCAAATATTAGTTCTCTGACAACTGCACCCAGGAGTTAAACACATCCGTGCCCATTTAAGCAAGCACCTATTGGTTGTGATGACTGAGGCAATCAGTTTCCAAATATAATTAGACAGACATTATTGTTTGGATGTTGAGCCAGTTGTACAAGCTCACCGCATGTATAACTCCCACTGGGCCTATTTTACTATGCTTCTGAAGGATTTTTCTCTTTTGCTGAATCAGTTAAAAGAAAAAAATGGGACTTGGAAAGAAAGAATAGTAATTTATTCATTAATTTATGGCTGAGCTGCAAGGCTGCTGTAGCTAAGCAAAGGAAGGCTCTAAATTTCAAGTGTGTACCTTTGTTGGCACAGCAGAGTCCACTCCAGAAGGGGTATGATCCCTATGGCAGGACAGGGACATCAAGGAGTCCTGGGTGCCCAGTTTGGATGCACTAGCTGTGTTCTTAGAGAGGCAATTAGCTAGGTGGTAATACCTTAGCCCAGTATAGGAATGGTGAACCTTGATTCAATGGTGACTGTTGAGCACTGTGAGATCTGTGAATGAAAGGCACCAGAAGGACTAGATCCTCTAGCATGTTGAACTCCTTGGGTAGTGCAAAGGAAGGAATGGATGGCTTCACTGCCTCCAGCGGAGGAGCTTGTAGTAGGTGTAAAATTTGCAATGCATGCTCCTGCTCCTCCATCCCTACAGGCTCAGCACAGACTAAAACCAGAGCAATATCACACTTCAGCTATCTCTAGCAGGTGTAAATTAGAGCATTCTCCCTCTACTGTTCTAGCAAGAACAGAGGCTCATGGAGCCATCTGATCGAAGCAAAGTGCCTGGCCTTACAACTGACTGCATGGCTGTATTGTATCCTAATATTGGCACCATTTTCCCCTGCTTAGAGTTGTGTGCGCTCAGCATCTCACAGAAAGTGCCTACCTAGCACACTCAGAATTGTGCTGTTTGCGATTACACGCAAGTTTGGCAACTTCTCCGCGTTCCACTTTCCCAATCTGTAAAATGAGGTAACTGTCTAGTACCCATTTTTGCAAAGCGCTGCTTACTGCTGAAAAACAGATAGAAAGATAAAGGCCATCTAAACACAGCTAGGTGCATCTACACATGCACTTTACTGAGGAGCTGACTAATTTGCTCCACAGTAAAGTGTCACTGTCTACATGTGTGCTCATATTATGGCACATTAAATTAATTTACTACATTGTAGGATAGTACTGCCTGACAAGTACTATTCTACAGCAGAGTAGCTATGTGTGCTAAAATGCATGTGTAGACCGTGACTGCCTGCCAGCTAGTACTGCACTGCAGCACCTTCATGCCCCAGCCAGCCCCTCCACAGCATGCTGAGCCAGGTCAGAGCAGCTCTAGGCTGGCAGTCTGACCCCCCGGGCCTCCTGCCAGCCAGGGCTGCTCCACCCAGGCTCAATGTGCTGTGGTCGAGGGCGCACATATAAATGCTGCAACCGGAAGCAATAAATTCTGGCATGAACTGTGGAGTAATTAACATGTAGCAATAAACTGGAGCAGAAGGCACCAAGGCCATCAGGCACTCTGGGGCTGTGGTGCTTGCTCTGCCTGTCGTCCCTGGGGGGCACGGTGCTATGTCTGGCCACTCTGCAGCTACTACATGTTAATTACATGTGTAAATGCACCCGCTAGCCACGTCCAGATGAGCATGGCCGTGTGGTATGTGGTGCCGCAGACACGTCTGCAGTGCCACATACAGCATATTCAGCTGTTTTTCACCTTGCAAGGTAACAGCATGGGGGTGGATTGACCCATGAATGTCTGGGGGTTAAAAAAAAATCCCCCCCCCAAAAAAGCAAAGCAGTACACACAGGGACAGCATGCACCACTCAAAACCAGAGCCTGGTAGGCCAGAACCATGCTCTGGCTGCCAGCCAGGCTCTGACTGGCAGGATTGCCACTGCTGCAGCCCCAGGAGGCCCCCAGGTAAGGCTGCTGGGGCGCATGGCACAGATGTTCCCTGGGGAAAAGCAGCAGTGACGCAAGGGGCCCCACTGCTAGTTGTCCCCAGGGAACCAAACATCCAAGCCATTGAGTATTAAAATTTCAGCTCCATCGAAGGACTGGTTTTGGAGCATCGCCTCTAGTTAACTGCTTAATGTACCTTAACATTCTGATTTGGAGGAATTCAAAGAGTAAAAGTGAAGACTCCCTCCCAATAAGGGAACTGTTACGGATTAGAACAGCCCCTCACTCTGTCACACTGCCATGTCCACGCGGTTGGAGATCCACTCCTGCAAGACATGCATTGTAAGCAAATCTGGAAATGTGAGCTGGACCTCCTGTGGTTGCACCCAGTTATGCTACTTAAATGTAACAACAGTTTCAATCATGACCCATCCTTCTGATGGTTTCTCTCCTTGTTGTCCCTGAGTAATAGAACTGGTTAAGTGTTGGGGGTTTTCATTGGAAAGTGTCAGTCCATCAAAATCAAAACTTTCTGTTCAAATGTAATATTTTTGACAAAGCTTATCAGAAAGGTTTCCCAGGCCTTGGATGGAATTTCTGGTGGTGGTGGAGAAAAGGGAAAGGAAAAGTCCAAGAGACTCAACCCAGAAGAGTTTGTAACTCAGTGGTTAGGGTATTTCACCAGGATATGGAAGTCCCAGGTTCAAGTCCCTGTTGGTCCTGTTTTAAACTAGGGTCTGCCCTAATTTAAATGCAACTATTCATTGGAGCAAGGCCTTGAACCTGGCTTTTCCACATCTCAAATGACTACCACAAGCATTTGGTTGTAGTCAAGCCATATCTCTCTCATTCATACCTAATGAATATTTAGTTGTTAACAGCAACAGCTCCAATGGGAGAGACCCATGCAAGAACAGATGACAGCTTTGCAATGAAAGTCCTCCCTTGGGATGTGAAAGACTAAATTAGGAGGAAATAGGGGCTTGAACCTGAGTCTCCTATTAAGTGCCATATACTAGGAGACTGACATGGGCAAGTCTAGGCTTTTGCAAAGGGAGCTATAGATACTGTGGTGCATCATCCAGTTAAAAAGAAAATACAAGTAGTACTAATGTGCTAGGGGCCTGAGGTTATATTATTCAGTTTAAGGCCAAAGAAAAAACAAATATTACTTTATTGAAATATGTGCTAATTTACTATTTCATACACTCTGCATACAAACAAAACAAATTAAGCAAAAAAAAAAAGAGCACAATATGTTGTTTCATTACTTGTGTAGTCATTAGAATTAAATGTGCATCTCCTTTTTAGATTTATAAAACAAAACTTGGCCTTCTTGAGCATCTTGACAGCGCACCCAATATTTCACTGAAAGTTCATTTCCACAGCTCAATTAATGTCCACCTAAGTTAACATTTCCACACTTGAGTTAATGTTTTTAGCTAGAGTCAAAAACATTCTGCAGGGCTGCATGGTAGGAGCTACATTACAAGGAAGATAGCTTGATTAGGGGATCATTGAGGTCATTAAAGAAGAGAAAAGGTTATTAACAGATGTGGAAATAAGAGTTTAGAAAGAATCAGGTAGACTATAGATTATACTGAGCCATACAATTCCAT